AGGAATGGAAAAAAAAAGGTGTATGGGACATTAAGTTACATTACAGGAATGGAAAAAAAAAGGTGTATGGGACATTAAGTTACATTACAGGAATGGAAAAAAAGGTGTATGGGACATAAAGTTACATTACAGGAATGGAAAAAAAGGTGTATGGGACATTAAGTTACATTACAGGAATGGAAAAAAAGGTGTATGGGACATTAAGTTACATTACAGGAATGGAAAAAAAAGGTGTATGGAACATAAAGTTACATTACAGGAATGGAAAAAAAAAGGTGTATGGAACATAAAGTTACATTACAGGAATGGAAAAAAAGGTGTATGGGACATAAAGTTCATTCTAATGAAAATGTGGAACTGGGCAACTATATGGAAAGACGTCAGATGAGTCAGGTGATTAACGAATGGAAACCAGAACATTACCGAGTGTCGTTAGTAGACGCATCTCTCACGCTCATAACCAGAAAGCTCAAAGTTACGTCATTTTCACAGTCGCATCATAAATATAGGGTATTTCATGTACGAGAACCTAGCGAAACAGATGACCCGAAGAACGAGCCAAATATTTTATGGTTCTAACGTGAAATGACACTGAAATACTTCTGCTGTCCGTGGCATGCCCGCACTGGTGTGGTTACCTATTACCCATGTATATTGTTTATGTACTAAAAATTAAACACAAGGCAAAAGAGGACTGTTGAAATAAGAAAATAAACTTTTAATCAACCAAATACATACGATACTTGTACCACGTTGCTACTCACCAATTAAAAAAAAAAAAAATGTAGCAGTTGACTAGGCGATAAACTTCCAGAAGACAAATTAATAAAAATATTTTAGCAAGTACCTTTCTTTCCAAATTGAAATAAACTACAACAGATTGTATCAACACGTATTTATGACAAAACGTTTTCTTTTAGAGCTACTGTATCACCCTTACCGCTTCACGCATAACAAATTTCATCACTAAATGTGCACGATTAAGGCCTACTTTACAAGAACATTACAAATTTCTAAATGATAACCGCTAGCAATACAAGACTTTTGTAATGCACAAAATCACAGAAGATAATGACAGGCACAGTTTCTCTCATTTTAAGTACTTATTCCTGATTTATGACACACATTATCAGCTTTAATTTCCATTCATCTTTTAAAATTTACAGGTTTTATAAATGCCTCAATCTTCATTAGCAAATACAGATTTGAAAGAAGTTCACGTTTTTTTGTTTTTTACATTAGACAGTACAAGAATATTCATTTGTATCAAAACTGTACACTTTTCACAAATACCAGTATGTAATATTTTAACTCAACAAATACCCCCAAATAAACTGATTAAAAAACCGTACAAATCACACTTTTAAATTTTTTTTCAAGAAAGATAAAAAAAGCAAAAAAACACTGTTTTTAAATCAACTTTTAAATTTGACCGTAGACGTAAGACTTTTTGTATAGTTCAACTTCAAGTTTATATCCACAACAATTACGATCACTCAGGGTTTAAGTTAGACATCGTAAAATACTTGACTGTAAATTTCACACACAAAAAAAGTACAAACTCAAGATTAAATCCTGTAATACGGTACAATTAACAGATCACATCAAAAGGAGAAAATATAATGACAATCGGGATATTGTAACAATCTCGTCATACGTACCCTGTTAGTCACTATAATTATACCAGAAATTCTACAGTTAACAAATTAATAAACACTACATAATATCTACTAACCATTTTCCGAGTCGCGAGAAAAAAAAGAAGACAGAAAACAAAGTCATCCCACTATATTATCTTACTAATTTATTAAGTTCTCACTTATATTTTGAACTTCGAGTTCTTGAAAGGAAACATTTATTTTAAAATTATATTTTTTACAAAAAAAAGGGGATTTATCATTTTTGTAAAAACAAAAGTAATGTTAAATCAGTTCACTAGGGGGATATACCATTTTTGTAAAAACAAAAGTAATTTTAATACAGTTCACTAGGGGGATATACCATTTTTGTAAAAACAAAAGTAGTGTTAAATCAGTTCACTAGGAGATTTACAATTTTTGTAAAAACAAAAGTAATGTTAATACAGTTCACTAGGGGGATATACCATTTTTGTAAAAACAAAAAGTAATGTTAAATCAGTTCACTAGGGGTATATACCATTTTGTAAAAACAAAAGTAACGTTAATACAGTTCACTGGGGAATTACCATTTTTGTAAAAACAAAAAGTAATGTTAAATCAGTTCACTAGGGGTATATACCATTTTGTAAAAACAAAAGTAATGTTAATACAGTTCACTAGGGGGATTTACAATTTTTGTAAAACAAAAGTAATGTTAATACAGTTCACTAGGGGATTTACAATTTTAATGTTAATACTAATCCACTTGATAATTTATTCTGCATCTGATACTCTACCTTATAAAGAACAGTTTTTAATTTGAACCTAAAGGACAGAGTTGCTTCCTGAACAACTGACTAGATAATTAGGTTTTTCTAACTGCCTAGGGTTCTATATCTTTATTAATGTTTCCCCGAGTCTCAGCTCTGTACTGAAAAGCTACAACATAATTTTTTTAAATAATGTTCTGGTATTAAACGATGTTTAAAAGTTTGTTTTAACTAAAAAAAATTTAAAAAAAAAAGGCTTGTCAAAAGTTTGTGGTAAATAACGAAGAGCAAAAAGAAGCTTTACAACATGTTGTGTAAAGATGGCAAAAAAAAAGCTTTACAGAATGTCATGTAAAGTGAAAATGGAAAAAGAAAATTTACAGAATGTTGTGTTATATAAAGATGGTAAAAAAAGCTTGCTAAAAAAACTGTGGTAAATAAATGACCAACTAAAAAGCGTGTCAAAATGTTGTGTTACCTATAAAAAATAAAAATAAACTTGCTTAAAGAGAACACAAGAAGAGTGGAAACATTTGTCAATTAAGCACCCGAAGAAGGTTTACAGAAACCAGTTAGCACCCAAAGAAGGAAAAATAACTGTGTTAAAATGTTAGGACTTTTGAGGAGTATATGAAAATGTGTTGAGGCAATTAACCCTTTCAGTGCTATCACCGTACGAGATATCGTAGTCGGTGGGAATGCTACGATCGTGTAACATACATATGGGTTTATTTTGTCGGCCACTCTTTGAATTCATGTTGACGCTCTGGCATGGTAACTAGTCACAGCATCAACACAAGTTCAAAGGGCGTTGGGAAAAATAAACCCGTATGTTACACAGTGATAATATTTTCACCAACTACCATATCCTATATATCTCGACTACCATATCCTACATGACCCGACTACCATATCCTACATGACCCGAATACCATATCCCATATGACCCGACTACCATATCCCATATGACCCGACTACCAAATCCCATATGACCCGACTACCATATCCCATATGACCCGACAACCATATCCTATATGACCCGACTACCATACCCTATATGACCCGACTACCATATCCTATATGACGCGACTACCATATCCTATATGACCCAACTACCATATCCTATATGACCCGACTACCATACCCCATATGACGATTGCACTGAAAGGATAAAAGAAGACAATCAGAAACCAGCTAAAATAATCTGGTGCCAGAAGAAGACAAAAAAGGATCATGCTGAACTTTTATGTCTTTAGAAGATCAGCATAAGTGAGCCATGATCGCTGTAGTACCAAAAACAAATAAAAAATTAGCGATATGTTCTGGTAAGTACCAAAAGACACGATATCTTGGGAAATTAGCAAAATCTTACAAAGTAATTTTCAAACAAAGTAGCAGTAGCTACCAAAATGATCAAAGATTAAACCCCTAGGTGCAACTGCCAATAAAAAAAAAAAAAAGAATGATGGACTCAGTAGCGTGTTCAATTCAGGTCCCAAAATATCATATCATATGACTCAATTGTAATTTTTTTATACGGCTCACTTTTGTTTTCTATAGTGGGCAGCAGAAAAGCTTTTAAAATTTACCAAAATATTCATGATAATCCAAATGTTAATCCCAAAAGCTTCACTTATCATCATTCTTTCCCACAGAATATTGCAACCGATACAAAAAAATACTCTTCGGTTTCTGAACCTTATCCAAAAACGATAAGACAAGCTCATTTCTCTGTAGTCACATTTACACACAATATTTGAAAAAAAAAACAATGGTCAAATATTATTAACAAAGTAAACATCATCTCAAGTGTTGAAGACAAAACAAGAAATAAACGAAAAAACATCAACAGCAAAACAGCCAAAAAAGGGAAGATATATTAAATATCAAACTTAAAAAATTCTCGGTCGAATCAAACAAAAACATAATCCAATAATGTTTTAAATTATCAAGTGGATCCTTTTTTTTTCAGATCTAAATCGAACACACTAACTTTTTCTAGCATAGCTGGAAGTCTAATTTTTCAACTAAATTGGTTCGTAAAGCCTTTTAAAATATCGATATGTTTGGGGAAGAACGTACTACTACTTCTTTACAATATTGGATATATATAAAATAAGTTTAGATAACTTGAAAGTTAAGTATGGTCCCATTCAAAGTTAAAAGCTCTCCCTGGTGGCATGTTAATGGTATTTCCTGGATTGATTTTTGTAGCCAGATACATACCCTGTTCTACTTTTTTTCAAAACGGTGACACCTGGCTGTCCCATAGTAACAGGATTATCGGGAAATCGAATTAGAAGATACTGCCCACAGAGTTCTTTTCCCTGACAGTAAAACAAAAAGCATATTTTAGAGGTGCTATATTTAAATTGAAACTTTTAAAAGCTTACAAAAAAAAAAGCTTCTTACAAGAAATTATCTTGTTAAATAGGAAATGTTAATCAACCTTACAAATATGAAATTTTATAATTTTCTTTTCATACTATATTTTTGTGAAAAAAAAAAACACAGGGAGCGTCTTCTATGCCTAAATATTTTTCAATTGCAAGCTTTCGGCCTCCATATCAGAGCTTTTATTGGGCAAAAATGTACCGTAAGAGGGCTGAAAGTTTATCAAAGGGGCTTCTTAGCCTCCGCTAACAGTTAAATGAACAATGAATGGTTAAAAAAATGTTTTTAGATAAAGTAGAAAAAAGCCATATCTGAAAGGTTTCGGTAACTCGGGTTCTCTTATCAAACATAATTTTTGTGTCAGATATCCATGGAAATCTACATACACAAGGATTATCTGTGCAAACTGTCCCTAAATTTGAACACTAGAGGAAAGGCAGCTAGTTAAATACACCCAGAATAGTGGGATTTGACCTTAACTCTTATAACACAGTCTCAACCCCAGAGTGAGAGGTTTCTGTAACTCGGGTTCTCTTATCAAACATAATTTTTGTGTCAGATATCCATGGAAATCTACATACACAAGGATTATCTGTGCAAACTGTCCCTAAATTTGAACACTAGAGGAAAGGCAGCTAGTTAAATACACCCAAGATAGTGGGATTTGACCTTAACTCTTATAACACAGTCTCAACCCCAGAGTGAGATTTTGTGAGAAAAGGATGCAAATTATGAACCTTAGATTCTCTGGGGGTGCATATCTCATCATAGTAGTCGATACGATACGTATCTAGATACAGAAGTTTTACCAACGGTTTGTTACAAAGTTTGACAGTCTTGTCTGTAATTTATTATCTATATTACTAACATTGTCTTATTTAAGTACTTCACACTTTACAGTGCTTTTATAAATTCTCAGGTTTGATCAACTAAATAGCAGCTGGCAAAAGAAGTAAAACAAAAAAAGTTAATATATGTCTATCTATTTTGTTATTGTTAATTTGTTATGTTACTTCACATGTAATGTTGTTGATAAAAGAAGTGAAGACGACACGTAGTACTCAATACTCATCTTCCTTTACCGAATCATTAATGTTTAGCAAAAATACTTTATTAGAAATTGTGATTTTTTATCTACAAAAGACTTATAATGCTTATGGAAAGCTTGCCTCATTTCGTGAAGATACATTAATCGTATCGTATCGGACGATGTATCAATACAATCGTATCACGGCTTCACGATACGATCTCTGTATCCCCACACCTTTAATACTAACCACTAGGCCACACCAGACTCCTATTTCACTGAAGATACATTAATCGTATCGTACATGT